TCTGAACGCTGTTGGGATCGCTGACGTATTTCCTGTCATAGACAAAGATTTCACTCTGTTTATTGATGGATTTAGCACAAACTTCTTGCTTGAGTGTCCGACGTGACCATACCTCCGTGGCAAGCGTCTTGACGTTTTTCCCACGAGCAGTCATTAAGATCTGCCGTTGAGGCGGGATCGAAGTCTTCGGGGCCACCCATGATCGTACTGCATCCGGACTGAGAGAAAGTCGATGATATTAGCTAGCGTCCACCGGGGGTAAGAGAGGGAGATGATAGGAACGGTCGGGCCGGGCTCAAGGGGCGGTGATGGGAAAGCAGGGCGAAGGGGGCATACGAGGCAAAGGACGCTGTATCGGTAACAAAATGCTCACCGGTGTGAGCTATGTAGATGTGCAGAGACATCCCCTCCTCACAAGACGAGCAATAAAGCTCCAAAGTCGACTGGAGAGGAATGCGGGAGGGGAGATGATAAGGTAGTCATATAGTGCAAGTAAGTAAGTAGTGAGGCTGCACAGGCATCCAGGCCCAAAGAGCTCCCCCGGTCTAGGCTGCGTTTGGTCGGTTTGGTGTCTGATATCGCGCCGGAACCGCCCACCGCATCCCGGGATCTCCACCGCCCTACCGCTAAAGGTCGGGAACCAGCAATCCATGATCCATTCATGCTGGGCTTTTCCAATCACACGATCATTTCCCCGACTTGCCACGAGGTCGCGTTCTATGACATCTGAAAAGGTCCGTCCCCTGCCTCACCTGAACCCAGGTGAGGTGTCGTTGTTGGACCTCGCGACCGACGACCCTCGCGATACCGTAATCTTGTCCGACAAAGAGGCCTTGATCCTGCAGCTTTATCGGCAGATCCAGGAACAGCAATTAGAGAAAGCACTACTAGAACAAGGTCGGTGTCCATGTTGCTGGAGCAACAAATTATTATCTGTATTCGATCTAGAATTGATTCTTATGCCTGATACAGACACGGATTTGCTATCTGGAGACAATGCTGAAGAGCAACTAGCCGTCGCCGAGCGTGAGCTTCTGGAAGCTAGGGCGACTTATACAGTCAGGAGGAAAGCCGTTGGCACGGTTCTTATGACTGATCCCATCCTCAAGGCTGTTCATCTGAAAGCGTCGACGCCAGCTGAACAGTAAGTTTACTAATTGTCTTCTGCATACATTTCTCCTACTCCATTACACCTTTTGCATTTACTTGCTTGCTTTTCCTATTTTTGGAGCGCTTCAATTATCTTCTCCTTACTTACCAGAAACAGGGCTCTCCTACGGCTCATTAATCGTCGTGATATGCTATCTTTAGCGCATGAAAACCTGAATACTGCACACAGTGCAACTCTTCGAAGGCTTTCCAGCCTGGAGGTGGAAAATTCACAGATCCACCGGCAAATTCAAGAGCTAGTCCGTGAGCTGTTAGCTCTTACGGAAGATGATGAATCATGGAGAGAGAATTTGGAAGACGCGGAGCTCAAGGCCCAGCTAGATCAACTAGATGCGGATCGCAGGAAAAGCAAAACTAAATGGGAGACTATGAAAAACATCGCAAGCGGGATGGTTGTCGGTAGTGGAGTGAACTGGGCTGAAGACGAGAGGCTCACGGCTCTGGTACTTGACGAATCTGATGATTGATGTAGCGAGTTGGTATATTGCAGTTACTTGGATGGGCGTTATGAGATATACCCTTGAATCAAATTATAGTCGATATGAAAATATTATTCTGTCTCCCTCACTCTTTGAGGGTAAATTGAGTTTGTGATTGATCAAATCCTCACTTTCCCTCAATGTCGCGGAGACATGCAGGAAAGCTTAGTAATCGGCACAACACCAGGGTAAGCTGAAAATCTGAAAATCACGACTGCAATCACTTCCTCAGCCGGGGTGTTGGAAGGATAGGTAGTGCGACCCACGTGACATCATGGCCCACCCGGGCAAAGGCAAACAGTGTTCGTCATACCGTGTCCACAGAGCTTACTGACAAAGTCTAGGATTTGGGAAACAGACGGAAAAAATCAACAAGCCAGTCCGAAATAAGCTGCAACCCTTGCAGTAGACAAAGGGGGGATGACAGCCGGAAATCAACAACGGCGCTTACGCATGTATGCCATCTGTGTTTACCCTCGAACGCCGACCAGGCAAAGAGAGTGCATGTGAGCAATGAGCGCTCCGTGAGGGGAGGGTAGCCAGACCAAAGAGGAGCCGGTGTTTCCACCGAGAACCAAATAACAGCGTCAACGACCCCCTCACCATGATTAAGAATACAGTGCAACTTACAATACAGAGAGTAATCGGCTGGTATCAGTAGAAGGATGGTTGCGTCCGATCATTACAGGATCCAGTATTTTGCCGGTAACTTTTCGCTGGTGCTCTTAGTGACGGGAATGCGGTGGCATTTACGAAGTCGCATCAGCAGCACCTCCCTTTGGGCGAACAATCTATGCAGACCTTTGCAATAGATCATTACGATCGTCTATTTTAATGTCTGGGACTAGCAATAGTCAACAAGCAAACATGTCGCAACACTTTTGGTATCTTTTTTCCATCCTTCATGGTGGAAAACGTTTGTCAGTGTTGAGTTACAGCCTACTTCGTACTTAATGATAACAGACACAACTTGACCTACGGCAGATACCTACGGGAGTAGGGCCCAAAATCATGGGTGATTTGAGGTCAAGGTATTCCCTGCGCAGATAGCCTGGGGTGAGCCACTGAAGAAGTCCGTGAACTCGGGAATTGGCGTACTTTCTGACCCTGGCATGGAATTAGTGGGTGATCTTGAAGCAGGTCTGCTTTGTGACTGGTACATTTGCTAGGAGCGGTAACCAAACAATTACTGCTTACTCCGAAATAATGAGAGGTAAATAGTTAGCTCCTAGCCCGCCATGCGGATAGGTAGGCTGCACATGTCCCTGGAATGACCGAGCTAATGGTGTTGATTAATCTATCTGGTAACACTTCTGCTCTCATCACTACATCACTCTCACGGTTCCCCGTTTTTATTGGGGGAGTGTCGATATGCTAGGAGATGAGCGTTCCTTTAGTGTCACTCGGCAATGGCATGGTTAGCCTCAGCAACTCGCTCGAGCCCATCTTCGGGCCTATAAAAGTTCTATTGTGCAAGGGAAGCTGTAAGGTATCCACATCGTACCACTACTGATTATGTCTATAGGAGTTAGTAGACACATCTCACAGTCACTGACCAGGGATGAGCCTTTCCATGTAGTGACGAGTCCTTCCCCTTTCAACACACGTAACTACACGGGAAGCGGGACCTCGGACAGGAACTGATACAGGATACTCACCTCATACGCCCTAAAGTATGTCAGAAACAATCTTACTAAAGTCTACTAGGACGCAGCACTGCCTAAGATAAACCGCCTGTATGGGAGGGCGGAGAATTCCCTGCGCGGGTTTATCTTCAAATATCGCGCAAGTACTCCGAGGTACACGGTACCTAACGCTGCGTAGTCGGCATCAAACAAAGTTAAGGTGTCCATGCAACAAAAAATAACAGAACAAAATTAAAAAAAAAAAAAAAAAAAAAAATTAAAAAATATAGATGTTTTTCATGATAGCGAAACACATAAAATAGCTCTTGTATTTCAATAGTGTCTTGCTGATATATATGGTTTATTGTGGTAGCAACGATTGAACCTACGAGCCACGCACGGGACTAGGTAGACTCAAGGTGCTGCACAGAAGGAAAGGTACTACCTAGTACGGAGGACTCCGTAGATACTAGCACTGCTGGTTAGACTCAGTAAAAGAGTAACAACATACGGTACGACCGGTAGTTTCCAGGTTAGCAGCACCACACCCCCCTCATGATACCGCCATGTATTTTACCCAAGGCCAAATTATCCACCTAATAGTGGCGCAAAATGGGGTACTGAGGTGGTATGGTAAAGTTCAGTACGGCAACTAACAGTGGACCTCCATCAGCGCAATGTTCGGTAGAGAGCTCCATCTTGTCTAACAGGCGAAGTCTGGATTACACCATTGAGTGGCATTCGACTTGCTAAGGAAAGGCTCTGCAACCTTGCAGGCCATTCAGTGACCCAGCACGACAGAGTCATCCAGAACGCGGCCAGCGAGCGTTGCCGGGAAAGAGGCAGATGACGGTACGTGACCGGTATGATACAATACTGACCATGCTCCAGCGGGCGGCCAGCCAGTCGCAGCCAGCAGACCTACTCGCTTTCCCTTGCTGTGCTGCCCACTTCCCCCCTTCCCAAGTGTGAGCGAGGTCAGGTAGGTAATGGCCCGCCTTCCCGTCTTCCCTCGCTCTTCTTCCTACTACTACTGCTCTCCCCCTCTCCCTCTCTCATTCACTCTCTACCTACTCTCACTACGCTTCCTCCCATACAATTCTCTCTCCCATACAAAAAAGTACTGCATATACCGCACTGGTGGGTTCCCTAATAAACATTCCGCTCTTCAGCATTGTCTCTACAACACCAACGCAATCTTTTTTTCTCCTTCAACAGAGTTGTTTTCCTTTTCAGAAGCTTCTTCTGATCATCTGTTTCCCTTGATTTTCTCATCCTGTTTGCGCGACCTCGCTGTCGCGCCTCTGCTACAGCCATCATATAGTTCTAGTAGCAGTGAACTGACCTAAAGCTGTCTTATCCTCCACAGGTCAAATTTTCGACCTTCAAATCCACAACTTTCCGTTTTTTTCAGACTCAATTATTGAGTAAGTTGCTCTCCTGCGCGCCTTTTCCCTGTTGGTGTCATTTGACTTGCGACCGCGATCCCTCTTGTTTGGGCGCGCGCAAACCACTGCTTATCCGCTCCACCAACCACCACTTGCACTGCGCACTCTGTCGCATCACTTCCTGTGCTCCTTAATGTTCATATTGCTGTCGCTGTCCTTTTTCCTGCTGCTTTTGGTGTCGACTGGGTCACTTCCTGCTTCACTTCTGGATCATTCTGCTTGCATCACTCGAAGCCAACTTCCACGTTCTAACGATTGCATAGAGCTCAATAATCAAAATGCCCAAGGAGAAGACCACCCGCAAGACCACCAAGACCCGTGGCACTGAGCGCAGAAAGAAGGGTATGTATGCCTCCCTCTATCTCTGGAACATATGTTAATGCATGGTACAGACCCCAACGCCCCCAAGCGTGGTCTCTCTGCCTACATGTTCTTCGCCAACGACAACCGTGAGAAGGTTCGCGAGGAGAACCCCGGCATCTCTTTCGGTAAGTTGCATTCCCTGGACCTTGAATGGAAAGCTTGGTGTCTAACCTCATGCAGGCCAGGTTGGCAAGATGCTCGGAGAGCGGTGGAAGGCTCTGAGCGACACCGATCGTCGCCCTTACGAGGAGAAGGCTGCCGCTGATAAGAAGCGTTACGAAGACGAGAAGGCCAGCTACAATGTAAGTCAACACCCCTGCCTATTCTTTGTCAGCCCATGCTAATAGACTTCAAACAGGCGGCTGCTGAGGAGGACGAGGAATCATCCTAAGGGTTTCCCTCTCTTCATGGGTCTTGTGTGTCTGGCCGATTGGCGTTTTTCGTGTCGTTTATTCCGCTGATTGTCTGCCTTGTAATTGATGCTTCTTATATTTTCTCTTTATCTACTCAATGGCTTCTGGTATGGGATGATGGCGGTAACACTTGATTTTCTGTTATGAAGGATTCTCGATGGGAAATTTTTACTGTACGGACTGGCGGCTTTGGGACGAATTTGACTTGAAGAGGTGCCCGGCGCTGAATTTCACAACGACGGGAAAACCTTGCGAGTACCTATGGTGAAATATGAATTGAAGCTGCAGAAGTGATGATAGGCGACCAATATCTGCTGTATACTAGCCTAATCAACCACATCCTTGTCCTCGGCCTTTCGTGGGTCTTGCTTTATGCCATCCTATTTTCTAGTATGATATCATGACGAATCTATGCCCCAGTTATACTCCGTTGTGTTCATAGCGTTGCAGGACACATTGTTTTCATCTTCTGGAGACGGCGGGAAGACTCTGTTTGCAAAAGTGGCCCAAGCTCCTGGGGTGACGCGGGGCGACAGCTTGTTTACGTGTTGGACGCGTCGGGCTTCCGATATCTCCGGTTGCAGCCTTGGTGCCTTAGGCCTGTTAGATACCGGACCATCCACACTCTGAAGATGTGGCCACTCAGTACGAAGTAGTAGCTGGCTCATACCTGGATCAAAAAGGTAGCAGGGAAGGCCGTGCCATCCACTTGGCATCTTGAGGATGGATGGACAGAAGGGGAACCAGTGCACCTTGACATCCAACTTATGTATGCCTACCCAAGGCAACTATCAAACAGTTTCCGTGCATTAAAGCGTTCGTACAACTCATAGGTGGCAAAGGTACACGGTGCGTGTGTTCGGATCGCATCCGGGGATGTATTGTCGCGTCTGCATCTACTGTGCAGTATCTCCCTTAAGCAAATCAGGTCCTAGTTCTAATGCTAGTATTTGGTGGTTGTTGGCCATGGCTATTGTGCGTGGTAGCAATTTCCACGAGCATATGTGTTTGAAGCAAGTATATTGTTCAGATGAATGCCTATTAACAGTGGTACCTTATGGAAACCAGCATCTAACATGGATAATTGCCAATAACCTGTGGGTGAGGACAGCACCGCTGGCTCCTTTGATAACTTTCCAGTGTGTGTCTGTGTGCGCAACGACCTTAACAGCATAATCTTGGCAGCATGGTTACTATTCAGTTGGGCTGCCGTGCATTCCCATGTATAGAAAGGGTCTCTTTAACTGCCAAAGTACTTATATACCTTTGCCCTTGTCTCTGGTTTGAATTGAGCTTGTCCTCGCTCAAAGCAGCCTTGGAAAGGTCATCATTATCAGCGAGACGATTGGTGCGATAAGATAAGATAACGACGGGTTCGTGAATTGCTGAGCTCCGATATCTACCTGGTGTGGTACTACCCCTTGGTCTACGCAATTCCGAGTGGATACGGGGAAAGCTCGCGGTCACCTATAAGTTGTGGTGACTATGGCTTGAGCTAAAGTACTAGCTTAGTATGTGGGGGCAGCAGCAACTCGGAAGTGAAAGGTGTTAGCATTTTAGCAAGTTTGAATGTCTTGGGATTTGCTGAGATTGCCCAGTCTTTAGGTGGTCTCTAAGTCTTGCCGGGCACAACGTGGCTGCACTAGCTGATACTAACGTTGAAGTCGATCGTAGACAACACACCTTGGGCTACCTTGGGTTTCATTTGGTAGTATTTGGTCATGACTTGCCCCGATACTATCTACTCGCTAGGCCTAGTCCCCTTATTGATTCAAGTTCAGATACTTCGTACCTCGTGGGGACTAGCCAGGAGGTTACTGGTAGTTTACTATATATATACATCGGCCATGATTTGCTCCACATAACAGAATGTGTGTTGTATGACAGCCCGACCATCAGCGATGCGCTAGAAACCAGAGAATAGCGTTGTGCTGGCCTGGCTAGAGCCCAGTCCCCTCTACTAAGCTCCTGTGAGCAGGAGTATACTCCTGTTGGGGTCAGGGTTGAAGGGTGTAACGATTCACGGCTTTGAAGACTAGGGTAGCACAATATCAGTACCTGCAAATCGTGGATTAACGCCTTGTGTATCAAAACCGATATTACATGAGAAAGCTTGTTTGATATTAAGGGATGAGCGCCCGCTACCAAGCCCGCCAAGTTGGGGGAGATGAATAGGACCTTGTCTTATACAAGCGTTGTCGGTCTTGCTGTATAGCGAGTCTCGTGACCGAGCCAGTCTGTACTGGTCGAATAAAGTTTTGGGGAAGTTCCAGCTGGAATGCGACCCCTGCAAGTAAGCCCGGAGTCATCGGGGGAGTGGACTGCCTCTCGTATGATTTACATCCAATGTGGCATTGGATATTATGCCCTCCTTTGTATGCCATAGGTGATTTTCTCCTTCGTCTCCCTTTTCTTTTTTTTTTCTTTTCCTATCAACGGCTCGAGGATCTAATGACTGACTTACTGAGAGTGTCACAGCAGTAAATCAACATGGGGACAAGCCGCGGGGTTGCACCTCATCTGCCATCCTGACCGTCCTGGCCATCACCGCTCAATCCCACCATGCATTTCCACCGCTCATTATTGGCCTCTTGCCTCCTCTGCCGCATGAACACGTCAACGGTCCCGAGGCAGTTAGACGAAAATGAGAGGCATCTCTGGCTCCATTGCCAGAACTGTCCGGCTGTCAGAGAGCCGCATTTGCTGCTACCCTTTCGGGCGATTGACGACGAGATCCCTGCCCCACTTGCGGAATGATTCTTGTTCTGCATCCATTCTTTTGTGCGAAGGATCTCGACCCTCTTCTCTATTTTTCTTCTCCTTGTGTGCGTTCCAAGGGTAAATGGGACCTTCTCGCCCTCTCACTCCTTAGAGCTGAACTAGTTGCAGAGTCTCCTTCGGTCTGCGTCCGTTGCCTGGTGAGACTTCAGTCTAAACATCCTCCCGAGGGCTGATCCCGCCGATAAGACGGTCCCTTCCTGACCCCATCGTTGTAGTTTACTGAGTTGTCTCTCCCTGCCCCTCCCCGGCTCCCGTCTGGCCCTATCCCGTGGTCCCTTGATTTTATGCATTTTTATTTTCGGTCTCCCATATAATTGAAGACCCGCCACGGCCCTCTGCGTGCTTGTCCGCGCTTGTTATTCCTCGCCGCTACCTTTCCCCATACTTCATTCACACTTACTTCACAAACATTGTAACTATAACTCTCGTCACCATCCGTGGTGCTCAGGAACGGGCCTCTATCTATATATGCATGGAACACCATAGGTGACCTTCACGATGTCCTTGCACGATTCTTACAAGACAGCGGAGGCTGTAGCTGAAGGATTCCGCTCCTTCAGCAACCTCCTGCCGGAGCATGACACGGAGATCACCAGCCTGGTCGTCGACCTCTTTTCAATCAGCCTCTTTCTCAAAGGCTTGGAGGGCATGGCGAGAAATCGAGCCTATCGCTACAGGCTATCCGCTATTCATCCTGATCTGGAATTGGTCCGTGCTAGCTTGAACTACACCCTTGAGGACGTGCTGGACTTCTTTGATGATTTGGAGTCCCGGAGAGGCGACCCCAGTGAGGCATACAAGCAATTATGGTTGGAAATCTCAGCCCATTTCTTGGAGGAATCTCAGGAATCCTTGTCCACCCGGTTAGCCAAGTACAAATCGTTTCTGAGGGATTTGAGTGAGATCATGAAGGGGTGCGTGGCCCAGTCTCTCCTTCTGTTACAACCCGGATTGGCTAACACTGAGTATAATGTAGTGAAGTAACCGATACTCGTCTGATGGCTTCGCTTCGCAGCAACCTCAAAGGGCTACTGGTCCACCAGGATAGCCGACTTGCACCGCGTTTGGGTTCTATGTCATTGAGTTCGCCTTCCTCTAGCAGCAGTAGCAGCAGCAATGGCAGCAATGCTGATCCAGGAAGTCCGGTCAATGGGCGTAGGCCTCGCGGACGCAGGTCGTACGAGCGAGCACGGCCTCCTCATTCCTCACCTCAATCGCCTATATCCACATCATCAGCCACATTCTCTGACATTCCACCCTCTGTGCCCTCAGCACCAGACTCTCCTACTACTAGCACCACTGCCACTAGCCAGTCAATAGACTCAACTCCTGTCAGTGACCACTGGGCCAGACGGGTATTTCTGGATGAGCACCCGATGACCCCAATTCCTTACGTGGGTGAAAGGTGAAATTAGCCAGTCCAAGCTGTGTCAAAAGTATAGCTGACAATTCCTTAGCTCCAAATGCCTCGGAGAGGTGAAGGGTAACGTGAAAGGGTGGCTTCACGAGGAGGGGTTCGAGGAGCTATTGCAACTGTGAGCTCACCCAGTGCTAGACATCAAAACAAGCTGACCGTCTTTTAGTGCTTTTAGTGGTGACTCGGATCTCCGTGTTTGCTTCTATCTACGGGAAGATGACCATCGCGTACGGATTGTGTGCAAATCCCGGCGTACCTCCCGGACCAGTGATTACTCTTGCCTACCCCTGAACTTGCTAGAAATCGTTCGTATCGGTTCCTGCTTGCAGATCTGTCGACGGCGTCGAGGGGGCTCTGAACTAGTGCTGTGGGCCAATCTTAAGTTTAGCACCATCGAGCGTATGTTAGCACATCTTATCATACAGAGAGCCAAAAAGCAAAAGGCTAACGTGCCGCAGAGATGGTGATTTTTTTCTGCACGTTCTTAGCGCTACGATCGCAGGACTCTGGTCGGCCTGTTGAACGCATTCGTGATTACGAACTTGACGACGAGGAAGAGCACTTCGGAGGGTAAGGGAGCGTCGTGACATACTGCTGATGGAGACTGACTGTTCTAGGCAAATTGTGGATGATGACTTCCTCCACGCCTTACGCGTGTACCGAGACAACGTGTCTGGAGCCGTACGTCTGCAGGCATCAGTCCACAAGGGCGAGATGAAACGGTAAGAAAGACGGCTTTCCCACGGACTACCATTACTAATTGGGCAGCTTACATAGGATGCCCGTTTGGACTGCATTCATAACGGAACATATCGGCTCCAGAGGCTGGATTCGCCGTGTAGACCCCAAAACCATCTTATTGCGTGACCTTCGTCGAGTCATCTTCACCTTCCCCAGTTATAATCCACCTCGCACACCTAAAGGAGAGCATATCTTGAAGTTCACGAATAAGTCAGGTATGGGCAGCTGCTGCGTCTTGAAGAGAGTTACATGCTGATATGTATTAGATGCCCAAGGTTTCATGGACACAATCGCTGAACTCGCCCACTTATAACACTACGAAAACAATACCTACAACATTTAGCATGTTCTGTATCAGTTACGGCAAGAAACAGGAAACAGTCCTGGCTCGCCAGTACATATAGCAATTACGACAAACAAGTTACGATTAACGATGAAATGAGCCACACGAGACGGTTGTTATTTGATTGTTGTTTCTGATCACCTTACGTTCCCACTGCACATAAAGCTGCCTTACTAGGCAATGATACCCTCCGTCCCTCAGAGGCGAGATGCATGTACCAATGATTTTGAAACCAATGAATTCATTAACATAATATATCATCAATGGGGTATCATAAGTCATAACTAAGCAGCAAATATGCAATATAAAGTATCCACCTTATCCACTGCCCCCTGTCAGTAGACCCGCGTCTCCCAAACCAGCGAGGAACATCTCCGCGCGTCGTTTAGCCCTTAGTTCATCGACCTTCTTCCTCCGTTCATCCCTCAGCCGCTCACGCTCCGCGCGTCTTTCCCACCTGGCGTCTCGCTCCCGCTGCGTTTCCTCCCGCGCATTCAGCAACTCCTCCATCTGCTGTCTCCGCACCTTCTCATCCTTGGAGAAAGCATAGAATCCCGTACCCCGATTCCGCACCTCCGCCTCAGCATCATAATGCATCTCCTCCGGCGGCGTAGCCGACCGATCCCTCCGCGCAGCCAGATCCGACATGCGCGAAGCAACCACCGCATCTGGATTAAACGCCTCCGCCTGCACCGTCGCCCCATAGATCAAATTATCCGGACGCGCCGGACGCCACCGCTCTGTATTTCCTCCACGCCCTTCCCCTTCCTCCGCCTTAAGCGCCGCCGCACGCGCCGCCTCAGCTCGAGTTCCGCGCCGTGACCGGCCGAGTTCATCTTCGTAGGAAACAATCGACGCATTATCATCATTGTCCTCAGCATCATCTTCTTCCCCCTCATCTCCTTCACCGTCCTCTTTCCTCCACTTCTGATCAAAATCCACCAACCCTTCCCTCTCTTTGCGCCGTAACCTCGCCAGATACGCATCCCCCGGTCCAACATCATCCCCTTCATCATCATCACTCTCTCCTCCGGCTAGATATAGTCCCCGCGACATATCCTCATACATCCGCACCTTTTCCTCCATCCGCCGCTTGGACCGGTGCAGCGTGGCGGCGTCCACGGCCCCGATGTCCTGCGTGCGCTGGTGCGTCTGCTGCAAAGCGGCATTGTCATCGTCGCGGAGGTCAGCGGCGGCGCGTTTCTGTGCGCCTTTGTTGGGGCGACTGAAAAGATCGGATTTAGGGGCTTTGGAGGGTCGTGGGCGGCCGGTGCCGCGGGTTGATGAGGAGTCGGTGGTGCTGTCTTTGGCAATTAGGGAGGAGAGGGTGCTGGTGAAGGCGAGGGTGGAGGCGGAGGGGGCTTCGGATTGGGATGATTTTTTGTTTCGTGGCTGTCCGTAGAGAGATGGATTTGACATGGTGAGTAGCTTTATCGTGAACTATGCAATATGTTGGGAGGATATCGTAGATGTATCTGGTGTAGCTATATCCTGGAGTATTGAAAGATAAGTAACTAGCTAAACTAGGAGCTGTAAGATGGGTCCGATATAGGACGATGACTAAGCCGGTTTAGGATGGGCCCCGCGCACCCCTCCGACTCATCTTTCCCCTCCTCTTGCTCATTCCTCTTCGCTCAATTGTCTCTCTGTGTGAAGTATAGCACTTTACTTGTTCAAAACCAATTGACAATGTCTGCTCCTGTCTTCCTCGGTGTCATTGGTAAGTTTCCCCAACTGCCCCAAACAGCGCTGCAGTAGCAATCAGCCTAGCACTGCGAGAATCACCATCACCACCATGACTACAACTGCAAAAGGCTCAATTATACTGACAGCTCACACCAGGCGTTGGCGGCGTCGGCACTGCCTTCCTGAACCAGCTCGCCCGTCTCCCCAACGCCCCCAAGCTCATCCTCCTCGCCCGCTCCACCCAAACCCTCCTCTCCCCGACCCCCGCCTACAGCCCCAGCATCCCCGCCGCGGAATGGAAGACCGCCAGCGCAACCCCCTCCCTGACCAAGTCCGGCGCCCTCTCCGCTGAAGAGATCGCCAACTACCTCTCCTCGGCGCCCGGCCGCTCCATCCTCGTCGACAACACCAGCGACCCCGCCCTCGCCGCCTCCTACCCCGTCTTCCTCCGCAAGGGCATCTCCATCGTCACCCCCAACAAGAAGGGTTTCTCCTCCGATCTCTCCCTCTGGAAGGACATCTTCGCTTCCGCGGCCCAGGGCAATGCCCTCGTCTACCACGAGAGTACCGTCGGCGCTGGTCTGCCTGTTATCTCTACGCTGCGGGATCTGGTTGCCACCGGCGACGAGGTGACGCGCATCGAGGGTGTGTTTTCGGGTACGCTTTCGTTCTTGTTCAACACATTTGCGCCGGTTGGTGGTGCTGGTGCGGGACGGAAGTGGAGTGAGGTTGTGGCTGAGGCCAAGGAGTTGGGATACACTGAGCCTGACCCGAGAGATGATCTCAATGGTATGGATGTTGCGAGGAAGTTGACTATCTTGGCGCGTATTGCTGGGTTGGAGGTCCAGGCTCCCGATGCGTTCCCTGTTGAGTCGCTGATTCCGGAGGAGTTGAGGGGCTTGGATGGCTCTGCGGAGGGTGTTAAGACTTTCATGCAGAGGTTGGGTGAATTTGATGGCCAGATGACGGAGATCAAGGAGAGTGCCGAGAAGGAGGGTAAGGTTGTCAGGTATGTGGGTAGTGTGGATGTTGAGAAGAAGGAGGTGCGTGTTGGATTGCAGCGCTTCGATAAGGATAGTGCTATTGCTGGCCTCAAGGGCAGTGATAACATCATTAGCTTCTATACTAAGCGGTATGGAAGCAACCCGCTTATTGTCCAGGGTGCCGGTGCCGGTGGTGATGTTACTGCTATGGGTGTCTCGGCCGATTTGATCAAGGTTGTGCAGCGACTGCAGTAGACCGACCTTTCATTTCTCTAATGACAGATGGATGGATCTAGAGGATAAAATAGGTTTACTTTTTCCACAAATTAAAACATGACATGATACCAACCAAATGTATACTACTCTATGCCCTCAAATACGCCTTAACCGCCTCCCCCCACACAGGACCCCTCTTATACCGATGAATCTCTGGCACATTCCCCTCTTTCAACCCATCAATCGCCAACGCCAATTCCTCACCTAGCCCTTCCTCCTTGATCTCCCGAATAGGGTACGTATACGTATGGAACGTGAACACCAGCGCCTTGGTCTTCGGTAACCGATGTAGAGTCTGACGCTCACACCGAAGAAGAGTCTATACATTGTCAGTATACTGTCCTGTCACTTTTCCCTTTTTCCAACACCACCAACATCAAAAGGAAAGGAAAAGGAAATGAGATGAAATAACATACCCCCTCCCCATCCACCTCCTCAACCCCCAACTCCCTCTCCCCTTTCTCCCCCTCATGCCCATGCAACCCCCCAAACGCAGCAAACAGCCCCGTCCCGGGGGTATTAATACTCCAATTGACGCGCTGCACAACCTTACCCACCTCCAATTTGGCAAAAAACCGATCCATACTCTTCTCCAACCGCTCTTTATAACGCGGCACGGGGTCATGGATCGTCGAGAGCCGCTTTCCGAGTTTCTCGCGCGTGTCGAAGCCGGCGGGGTAGAAGGTCGTGTATGCTTCTAGGGTGTATTTCTTCTCTTGTTCTTCTTCTTTTTCTGTTGGATATGAGGATGATGATGATTCAGGAAGTAAAACGAGAAAATCCTCGTCGACGAATGTACCTAGTGTAGAGAGGACGTCACGTCCAGAGCCGCGGTGGGGGAGGGGGATGCGGGTGTTGGTTATTTTGTTTAATAGGGTTTTATTAGTACTCTCTTTATTATTGGTGTTGGTGTTGTCATCTTGGGATTGTGGATGGGTGGTCGTTTCAAGTGTAAACATGCTCGGGTAGCGAGTGGGAAGGTAAACGCCGACTATAAACTCGTATAGTTCGGTGATGGCGGCGTGGACGGGACTATCTGGCTTTTGGCCTGCTGGGGTGACGCCTACTACGATGGTGGGGTATTGGGTGAGGAGGGATTGGCGGAGAGTGAGACGCTCTTTGTAGGTTTTGTCCATGGGGATGAGGTGGGAGATGTCGGTTGTTGTTAGGGCTGGGTGGTTATTGCTCTTGTTAGTTGGGGGTGTTCTGCTTCGGATGGGAAGGGGATGTGATACCCATGCTGAGGTGGTACTTTGGCTTGAAGGGTCGGTACTTGGTTGGTTCGGTGGTTTCCCAGTTGAGGGATGGGAGGGGAGTGATTGGGGGGTAGGTATCTTGTTCTTCTTTGGTGACTTCATCTTTGGGGATGGTATTGGGTGATTGCTGTGCGTGATGGTTAGTACCTAGTATGGATTTGTGAACAGGAATAGACGTACTCGATTCCACAGTCCAAATAACCACAGTGAAAGGACAAGAAAGACTACCACAATGGGGTTGTTCTGGATATAGAGAATCCAATCTTCTACAACGTTCATGTCCATATTGATGATAGTTGAAGTCGGTGTGAACTGTCAAGCGAATGAGGGGGTCTTTAGCTCTTGTACATCCCAGTTATCAGTATACTAGTAGTACTGCATATGGTGCATGCAGCGTATCGTGATCCGCGATTGGTTGATATGTCCGTTCATCGCCGATTGCTCGATTCCCCGACTCGGCGGGAGTTGATAGCTGCTTGATAGAAGGGATGGATGGCAATGGCGGTTGGAGATAGCTGGTAGATGCGGGGAAGACTTCCCCGTTCCGGCGATGGCTCACGAGGTTGTATTTAGGGGGTTACTACATCGGTGATGATCCAAGTACAAGTATGTCATCTTTCTGGTTGATATGGTGAAGATAATGCATGTATCATGTCTGATAAGACATTCATTTGGCGTGCGATATCCCTCGGATAGTTTACTGTGTCATAACTTGGAACTTTACCTTGGTAATGCCGAGGTCAGCACTAAGACTTTAAAATGATCTGTTTAAGATGTTATCGTAGTTACTTGGAAGGCAGGTACTTCCAATATTGTTAATGTGTAAGTAGCTAGCTTTGGATGACTTACATCAGGTGAATTGTATAGAATGATGAGAACTATGCAAGATAGAGAAGACTGAGCAGCGAAGCGAAAATAGTAGTCACTAATTGAGAAACTGGGAAATTGGCCAGCAAAAGACCAGTAACGGTAACATTTGATATGTTCAGCAAATAACTCTGGCCTGAAGTGAAAAAGAAATAAGCCATATAGGAATATCACGAAGCATACAGCCCCTGAACAAAGACATAAAGTAAACTCATCCTTTGAGCAAAGCAGGTAGGTAGGTATCTCAGCAACTGCTCAACAAGAAACCAACCACTAAACTAAAAAAAAAAAAAGATAGAAAAAGCAACAACCTAGTATAGGTACAGGGGTATTAAAAATGCCACATGAACAGAACCTCAAAAGCACGCCTCAAAATCATGCACCAAATCAGTCATCAAAGGGAGGAGATATGGAATGTGCCCTCACCAGGAGGTATCACCATCAATATCCATACCATTATACCTCACTCGCACCCCCAAATATAATCATCACCCCAGGTATATATCAATCCCCACCATGACCTCCACCATTAACCTCCACGTGAGCAACCACCCTCCTCGTCATCCCTTCTACCCCCTTCTCATCCCGTCCACTACCACCAACACCGCCACTACTTGTATTCCCACTCAACCCCACCAGTACTCGAGGCTGTCCATCCGGCCGCTCATTCAAACTCGGCGCCCTTGGCCGCTGCTTCCCGCGAGCTCGACCTCCCACGACCGGTAATTCGAACGTCAACATGCGCCCCGTATACAGACATATATCGAAGATGAGAAGCGCCGCCCAGGGGAAGATAGTCACGAAGCCGAGGAATATCTGCTCATGCGGAAATACAGTTAGTTGATTTGCACTCTTTCTGTCTCCCTCAGGAGGATTCGGAGCGGGGGAGGGGAGGGGAAACGGACGAAGATGTGCACTACCGAGCTTTCGATGTAGGAGAGGGTAGGCGGGAGGAGGGAGTACCACGCCATCATTGGGGTGGTATTATATTGTATGTCGAGAAGATGTGGTAGGTATAGGTTCGAAGCAGAGCACTAGGAAGGTGGATTGGAGTATTGGGGTATTTGCATCGGAATCGGGGTGGCGGTCAGAGGCGGTGCAGTGTCCTTGCGGGATGCAGGTGAAGTTATGAGAAGAGGTATTTCGCTCGGAGAGATCGTTGCAATTAATGAAAGGATGTGGTGGGTTACGCTGGTGAGCTGGCAGGAAGGATCGTGTAGATATACTGTGGATGCTGGGAAGCCCGGCTTGGGGTCCGGAGATCCGGCGACAGGGCGGGCAGGCAGAAAAGGCGGGCAAACGGTGGTGTGATGCAGGGTAGGTAGCTAACGAACGAAGGTCGGACTTTCATGTGCGGAGAAGAGAAATGACAGGCGGTGGCATCACCGGAGGCGATGAGGCTTGGTTACAACCCTGGTGAACAGGGGGAAACTGCTGGGATTCGATGATCGCCGGCCGACTTGGCGAGGATACGACCTCTGCCAAATCAGGCAATTCGTCAGCACCTTCCGCGGGGGTGCACGAACCACACTAGTATAAGCTGACTGTAGGGAACACAGACTATTTATGTTCAACAAGCAGATATAATTTTTGTTAAATGTCCAGGAATATGCTTATATGCAATTTATGTACAGCAATTCTAATCAAAAGTCGTAGGCACATGTCTTCCGTACTCCGCCCAAATCCCATCCCAATGTCTATGCACAATCGTTATCGCTGTAAATCAAGATCATTTACCGTGGCATCCGGTAGTGTTCGTACGAGGTGAAGCTGGGGTCGTCCTGCTCTACAGGTCCATATCCCCTCGTCCGCCACCGATCCAGCGGCGTCACCGTCTCGTTCACCGCCGGGCCCTGCGCGTGATGGAGCAGCTCTGTCTCGCTCTCGTTTCGCTGCTGGTAGAATCCACCGTTCATCGGGGCCGGTACGCGGAAGGCGGGATGAATATGGTCGTTCAATGTCGGGTCGTATGCGTCATGCGGCTTCAAGCCGGACAGCGACGACGGCAGCGACGGAGCGGGAGATGATGCCCGCGAGGAGGTTGGTGACCATTCTCCCAGCGCACTGGCCGGTGTGTGCGAGCGTTCGGTCATCAGATCGTCGGGCCGGCCGTAGATACCTCCGCCAAACTCGTCCCGGAAGTCGGGGCGGTTCTTGTAGTACGAAAAATCCAAATGGTTCTCCGGGACCACTTCGAACGGAGCTGCTGCGTTTGCATCGTCCATCATAGACTTTCCCGGGTGTGAAGACGACATGGCATCCATCGCGATGTCGGAATATTCACCTTCGCCCTCGAACGTTCCCAGCCGGCCGCTATAGATACGCTTCAAGGCCTCCGCAGCCTTGGCGTGCACCATCGGCGTGATCAGTGGCTTGTAGAGAGCCGGGTGACCGAACTTGGAGTTGAGCCGCTCAGATGCCTTCTTGTTCGGCTTGCTGACCGCCAGGGCTTCAGCATCTGTCAAGTTCGCGCGGTTGTAGAACGTGATATCGTCGTCGAACTTTCTCATGCAGTAGAACTTGAAGCCCAGCATCAGGAGAGGAGGAGGAATCACGCAATAGACCATAGTCCACGTGCCCTTGGCGGTAGCCACGATGATGATGATAATGTTGGAGAGGATCACGGCAAAGAGCATGCGGTTGAACAAGACCCGCCAAAACTGCCCTCCAGACTCCGTCTTCGTCACGAATACATACAGGAGCATGTATTTCTTCATCATCGCATCCAGGCCAAAGTACAAAGCAGTAACGGGGAGGACAATCGGCTGCAGGGTAGCGAAGCAGAGGGCCACGGTCGCGTAGAATAAGAAGTAGTTATAGTAGCTTGCGTAGTCAAAAGCCGGCGGGGCTGTCCATTCAATCGCCTGCCGAGGCGTTGGCGAGAGAAACGTCTTGGAGAACCAGACCCAAAAGACCGAGACCAGCTGAATGAGGTCGATTGTGGCTCCTAGATTACGCTGCAGCAAATATGTCACCCAAAATGGCGAGACCTGGCACAGAGCGTTCACAATCTTGATATAGAGTTTCCCGTCTTTGATCGCTTGCCAGGCGTTTTCATCGGAGCGCTCTGCATCAATGACGGCGGACACGAATGTCCACGCCGCAGAAAACAAGGAAAAGACGATCAAATTGTTGAAGACGAAGAAAGTGTAGAGCTTGTTGAGAACATGGCGCTCTCGGGAGGTCTTGGTGACATCGCCGGCTCGGATTGCCAACCGACGAAAGATGATAGGCAAGACAATGTAAACAAGGGAGGTAACGGCAGGGGACAGAATACCCTGGACTGCGGCCCAGATGTAAGGACTGTTATCCATCGAAGTCCGGAATGCCGGCCAGACCGAGGCCAGGTTGTTCAAATTGGACAAGAAGATCGCAATCAAGCCGTTAGGTACGACGTACACCAGCGTAAGAAGCGACACCCAGATTGCACTAAGAAACCGCTTCCACTTGCGCGCAGCCTTCGACAGTGGCAGGTTTTCCCAAATGAGGTCATCGGGCCGGGGCGCCAGAACAATTGTAGTTCCTTCCGGGTGCTTTTTGCGCGCGGTATAAGCAACGGCGTGGGCATGCTCAATCATATCCCAGCTGACAAAACCAAAGGGCATGGCATTGCGCCGATCAATCGATGATCGGACATGCTTGATCTCTTCTTCCAGTCTTTTGATCTTATCCGTTAAATAATCAATCGCATCCACGCGGCCGTTAGTGTGCTCTCCTCTTTCCTTTCGCGGAGGGCGCATAGTCGGACGTTTCGGTGGAAGCCGATCTGGGTGTTTGAGGTACTTGGCCAGGACTGCTTCGAGTTCGCGCACAGTTTCGTCGTGTTCCTTGATCAGACGAGGCAGTCCCTTGACGTTACGGCCGATGGAGGCTCGCGGGACGGCGGCGGTTGGGTTTACCTCATCCGTCAAACGCAGAACACCTTCATCCCCTCGAGCTGCGGGAGGAATATCAGTAATCTGCCGGCGCAATAGGTCAGTACAGGTACATCGTGTCTATGGGATTGCTTCATCGCACCATCAAGGTTCGCGCATGGAGACTGCGCTGATATTCGGGACTCTCAAAATACTTCCTCCGCAGCGCCAGCACGCCCTTATAATTTCTCCAGAGAAAGAAAGCAATGATCGCATCAAAGGCCCATGCGCAGATCACCTGGCCCCAGATTGCGTCGGACGTAACGTAGAGCACGGTCATCGTCGAGAAGGCACCATACTGGGACACTGTATCACCCGTGCTCTGTGTGAGATTGAGCGGGATCATCAAGCCGCAGCCGATGATGCTCAGGAAGATAAAGATATTCCGGCACATCTTGGTGAAGCGAACAAACATGGTCGCATCGAGGCCAATGCAGTCGACCAATGCCGGCTCCTTGGTCCGCAACACAGGCTTGAGCCAGGCGAAGAATCCCCTGCCCACTGGCGGCGGAGTGTGTTTGTTATCGGCATGTTTCACCTTGGGCGCATAGACGACCGAATGGCGAGGGCGGAAGAGGGAGAACAATAAGGCCAAGAGTATGGAGAAGCCCGCGGAGGTGGCTAATGAAGCCCAGATGGCGTTGACTTGGAACTATAAAAATTTCTTAGCTGGCTGTCGGAGGCTGAAAGTGGCGGGTGGGCGATAAAAAAAACATACGGCAGACGAGAAAGGATTCGAGATGAGCTTCAGGAATTGCTCCGTGGGGTCATCGCGCTGCTGAAGAGCGCTAGGATGCATGATGGCGGGCGAGACGAGGCGGCATCGAGGGAGCAGAACGGGGAAAACGAGGGGAGGATGAGATAAAGACAAAGAAAGAAGGGACGATGCCACCGGAAGAGAAGGGAGGAAAACGAGAGTGAAACCGAACCAGATAAAGGAACTGATGGCCACGGAAGAAACTGAATGATGATGGAGAAGCAAGAGGGCCCGAGTGGGTTTTGTTGGAGGCGGGTCTGGAACACACGACGCCGACAAGGTTGGAGTGGCCGTTGCCATTAATCCATTCTTCTGGGGATCAATGGGCGGTCTTACTTACGTACCGGAGGTACGTATCAGGCCCGATTGACAGGCAGGCTCGGTCGGAAATGCATTAATTAACTAAGTAGTGATACGCTGTCTGTGGTGTCATTGGTCCTCGCATGACCGGGGACAGCCGATCTAGAATGTAGGAAGCTTGATTTCCCCTGCCTGATTGCAGATGTATTTCAACTATTTTCCCCCTCCCCCTTCTACTATATCCTTCAGGCCCTCCATGCTCGTTCCTCTGCCGCACGGGTTTTCAGGGTCACTCGGTGACCGTGCCAGCAGTGCTCGCCTCAAAAACAGACTTTCCCAGCAAGTTCAGTGACAAAAAAGCAAAAACCACAATAGCCCTGATCCACTCGGGTGATTTGGTTGGTTCATGCCCCATCCTCGACCGGCTTGCTATTTTGGTGGGCCAATCCCGGTCAGTCATTGCCAGCCAGTCTGGAACAATTTCTGATCATCTTCGGACTAGCGCTGCCTTTCTGAGACACATTCTTGGCACTTACACCCAGTGGAGTCTGGTATTTCGGGGCGTCCGTTGGCTTGATTGGCCGCAATACATGGCAATGCTGTCCGGGTACCTTACCTGACCATACTTACCAGTGTGGCTGACCAGCAACTCTGTGGCTCTGGGTCAGATGGAGAATCAGAAGAAAGCACTTCTTTCCATTCCATCAAGTGAAAGAAAACGGGCCCTGTTAGCGAATCTCCGTCTCATTGGGCACTGTAGAAGAGAATGACGGCACCTCATGATACTCATGTACCGGCTGATGTGGCTATCTGATCCCTCGGATTATGTAACCCCTTTTCGCACCACGCATACTTTGTACTCTACTTGGTGCACGGCTATTTCACTACTATTGCCAATAGTAGTGAGGATCCGTCTTACACAGTCAGAAAAGGGGGGAAGAGAAGCTTGAAGTTCATGAAAATTGGGAGCACCAGAACCACTCAATCGATCAGGTTTCAGGGTCCGACACTATGATCCCATGAGCTAGGGATTCTATTAGCCGCGCACAGATGATGGTGGCAACGGGAAAGGAATTGATTGCATTGGTGCAAGATACAGTAGAGACAAGCAGAGCTGATATAGACGGAATAGCCTTCCTCTCACTGGTCGACTTCGATGGTGATCATGGGTCCAAGCTGACAGCATCACACCCGAGTATTCTATTTATACATACAGAGCGGGAAAGGGCTCATGTTTGCGTGAGTTGATGTCCTGAGACAAACTCCATCACCTACGGCTGATTGGAGCGAACACGGGTCCATGAAGTCATCGCTCGGTTACGCTGCCGAAGTGATCACAACGCGCGCATT